TCTCTCTCTTCTCTCTCTCTCTCTCTCTCTCTCTCTCTTCTCTCTCTCTCTCTCTCTCTCTCTCTCTCTCTCTCTCTCTCTCCTCTCTCTCTCTCTCTCTCCCTCTCTCTCTCTCTCTCCTCTCTCTCTCTTCACTCATAACTAATGAGCTTAGTTGTTACCAACTCTCTATTTCTCTTGCTCACGCGTACGCACGTACACATTTATTCATATACATTTTCGCTTCTCTTTATCTCTTCTCTGTCTCTTTTTCAGTCTCACTGTCTTTCTGTCTGCCTGTCTCTGTCCGTCTCTCGGTTTCTCTCTCTCTTTTTGTTTCTTTCCTTCCCTCTATCTCTCTCTCTCTTCTCCCTTGCTCTCTCTCTCCCTCCTCTCCCTCTCTCTCTTGCTCACGAGTACGCACGCACACATTTATTCATATGTATGTGCTTATGGGTATGTTATCAACCTCGCGTACACCAATTACAATCTGAGATCTTAAAAAAAAAAGAAACTATTTCGATTCATTTCAAGTTAATAATTGCTCTGGATCTAGAGACTCGTCCCTATTTTTCTTCTTTATTATGTTTAGTTTTTTTTATTTTTTTTAAATCCTGAGTTCACATCCATACGCAAAAATGAAAGGAAATAATCGAAGAGCGTTCAATTCTAAATGTATTTTCCATTGATGAAATACACATCGCCATTTTACAATTCTTCCACGATAGAGAACGAAAAAAAAAGAAAAACATCAACTACACTTGCATAAATTCTCTTCTCAACGATGAATGAGTTTTGAAACGCTCGCTAATGAAAAAGAAGAAACAGTCCCGTGATTCGAGTAAAGAAACAATAAAAAAGTCAAAATGTTTAAACGGTTGCAGCTCGGATACACGAATAAAAATTGCAGCGAGGTAATGTACCCATCAGTCATCCCTTACAACGGTTGGAAAGGTGTAAGGTTAGCTGTGTTATGAAAGCGCCGGTCGCCTTTTTACGGATTTCCGAAAGGGACGCGCTTTGAGAATGATTATTTTATTCTCTTTTATCGAGTAATAAGATATGTGTACACGATATCACAGATCAGGGTGTAAGATACAGATATTGTACACGGGTAGGTTCGCTAAAACGATTTCCATATTTCTTAAATTTGCAGCATTAACTTCATTCTTAATGGAGGAGGTATTCAGCAGCCTCCACCTTCTCTCCGCTTCATTTACCAAGTACCCAGTTAGATACTTATCAGACTTGTCTTCTAATGTGGCCCATATAATAAAGAATAACGATAACCAGACACTCAGAGAGAAGCAAATATCCAAGTACATTTGCCGAAGAAGCTCGCACCACGACCAAAAGTTATCGAAAGGTTTTCTTCTTTCTTTTACAGGGTTTTAGACTATACTATATCCTATGCTCCTTCGCTGAATGGTCGTTGGACTTCACTTCAATAAGCCGAGTTACTGGTTCGCTCTCCTCGAATATAATATATATATATATATATATATATATATATATATATATATATATATATATATATATATATATATTTATTCATATATACATATATTTTTATGTGAGTGTTTTATCTTGCTATAAGGACTAAAAATATATGCATGTTACTATAAGCATTTGTTTCTTTATCTCTCCGCTACACGATTTTCAGCCTTCAACGCGCTTGTTCTCTGGCGAGGAACTAGAACTTGCACAGTCATATCAGTTCCTCCAGCGCTGAGAACGCGATCCTGTGGCGTTTTTGTAACACCTTTTTTACGGCCACAACCTGTACTACTGAATTCTATCTTTTTTTCTCTTCTTCTTCTTCCTGTGACCTTCTCTTTGCGTTAGAAAAACAGGGAAAAAAATAGAAAACCAGTTTCAAGTCCCCATTCATACGACCAAAACTCCATTTGATTGCTAAAGCACGATGTAAAAGCAAGAACCTCCACTTGTGCGTTTCAACCTTTTCTAAAAGTCTACTACTACTACTACTATTGACACTGCTACTACTACTACTGATACTACTACTACTACTACTACTACTACTACTACTACCACTACTACTACTACTACTATTACTGCTATAACTACTACTATTATTATTATTAATACTACTACTATAACTACACTATTACTACTACCACTATTACTACTACTACTATTACTACTACTACTACTACTACTACTACTACTATTACTACTACTAATGGTAATATTAAGTATAATACTAGTACTAATAATAGCAATATCAATAATAACTATAGTAATAATGATAATAATAACGATAATAATAAGACAATAACAACTGTTAGACCACCACAACCAAACAATATAAACGATAAAATAACAAAAGACGAAAACAAGTAGCAGTATAAAAAAAAAAAAAAAAAAAAAAAAAAAAAAAAAAAAAAAGTCTCATTTATGTAGAACATTATCCACTGGCGACCCAAAAGCAAAAAAATTGTTCCTCCAAACCAAGGGGGGGGGGGGGAATGGAAGAGACAGATAAGGAAAGCAAAGTTGAATTTCTAACCCTCGCCCCACCCCCCTCCACCCCACTTCTCAGCAAGGGACGAGAAGGGGGCCTTTGTAAAATTAGTCTCTCTCTCTCTCTTTCTTGTGTGTGTGAGAGAGAGTGTGTGTGGGTGGGTGAGTGAGTGAGTGTGTGGGTGGGTGTGTGAGTGTGTGGGTGGGTGAGTGAGTGAGTGTGTGTGTGTAGTGTGTGTGTGTGTGTGTGGTGTGTGTTGTGTGTGTGTGTGTGTGTGTGTGTGTGTGTGTGTGTGTGTTGTGTGTGTGTGTGTGTGTGTGTGTGTGTGACGAGAGAGAGAGAGAGAGAGAGAGGAGAGAGAGAGAGAGAGAGACAGACCAAAACAATCACAGACACAAAAAACACAAAAATAAAAAACAAAAAAAAAATACCCCCCCCAAACACCCACCCTCGCGACATTCCCCCCCCGCCCCCCACCACCGCCGTCCCTCCCACCCGGGTCCCACCCGGTCTCCGCTTCGCCCCCGTCCCCACCAGAAGACCGAAGCAGACCCGAGGTTATCTCTATTAAAAGAGCACAGAAGCGTTTAGTCATCGGCAGCCGGTCGGACCCACCGCTACCGGCTGCGAATATGGGAGTCAATGGTGCCATAAAGAGAGTGTCGACGTTATCGCATTACCATCGCTGCGTTGCGAGTATGCGTTGACGTCCTCATTATCTGTGCGTGATGTTTCTCTATTTCTATCTTTTTTGTGGATTTTTTTCTATTTTCTTTCTAATCTCTTGTCGTATGTCTTGGGAAGGGGTCTTTTATTTTTTTTTTCTTTTTTATTATTTATCTGTTTATCTGTTATCTTTTTGTTTGTTTGTTCTTTGTTTTTTTTCCATATGGGTGTTAATGGTGCCATAAAAAGAGTGTCGGAGGTATGGCATTACCAACCATGCTGTCTTCGTGTGTGTTTTTTTTTTTTTGTTTTACTTATCTTCTCATTTTAATTTTTTACCTTTTTTTATTTTTATAATTTTTTTACTGCCTTTGTTTTTTGGTTTTTTTTTCTTTCAGCGTTTCCACTGTTCATCTTGCTTGCACTGTTTTCGTGTTTATTTACTTTGGTTTCTATGTATTTTCACCCTTCATTTTCGTCCAATTCTGTTGTCCGTTTGCTTTCCTCTCTTATTCCACCTTAACCACTTTTCTATATACCTTAGTTTTTTTTCTTTGTTTTTTTTTCTTTCATGTTCTTCTTTTCTTCCTGCCCTCTTCTCCTTCCTTTTAGTCCTTCTTTCCCCTCCAGTTATTTCTTTTCTCCTCTTTCTCCTTCCTTTTTCCTCCTTCTTCTTCTCCTCTCTCTCCGCTTCTTTTTCTTCCTCCATTCATCCGTTCCCTTCTACTGCCTTCTTATGCTTTCTGTCTTCTCTCTCTCTTTCTTATCTTCTCTTCTCTTCATTTCTCCTCCCTTCTTCCCATCCTCTCTCTTTCCCCCATCATCATCTTCCTTTCCTCCCTCCTTCCTCTCCCTATTTCCCCCCTCCTCTTTCCTCCTCTCCCCTCCTCTCCTCTTCCTCCTCCCATCTCCTTCACCCTCTCTCCCTTCACCCCTCCTCCTTCCTCCCATCTTCCTTCCCCCTCCTTCCATCTCCTTCACCCCTCCCTCCTCCCCCTCTCTCCCTCCTCCTCCCTCCTTCCCGCCTCCTTCTTCCACCCTTCCCTTCACCCCTCCCTCCCTCCTCTCTCCCATCCCTCCCCCCCCTCCTCCTCCCCTTCCCTTCACCCCTCCTCCCTCCCTCTTCCTCCCTCCTACAAGCAACGACAACACCATCATCATCACCATCATCACCATGTCCTAATTGGTAGTTAAGGGTAAAAGCGACCGCCTTCAATCATCGCCACTGCCCTAATTAGGAAGGTCATCAACAAGATCATCACCGCTGCTATCATTAGTATCATCACCACAATCATTTCTCCCCATCTCTCTTCCCCCGGGCTCTCCCCCCTCCCCCCTCCCTCCCCTCTTGGCCGCCATTTCACAAGCAGTCGCGCTCTCCATTGCGCTTGTGTTCTAAGTCAAGATTTTATTTCTCGTGTGCTCTAAGTCAACGCTTTATTTCTTTTGTGCTCTAAGCCATTACTTTATTCTCTTGTGCTATAAGTCAGTCCTCTATTTCTCTTGTGCTCTGTCAAAGATTTATTTCTCTTGTTCTCTAAGTTAATCTTTTATTTCTCTTGTGCTCTAAGTCAATACTTTATTTCTCTTGTGCTCTAAGTCAGTACTTTATTTCTCTTGTAAGTCAAAGATGTGCTCTAAATTATTTCTCTTGTGCTCTAAGTCAATCATTTATTTCTCTTGTTCTCTAAGTTAATTATTTCTCTTGTGCTCGATGTCAATACTTTAGTTCTCTTGTTCTCTAAGTTAATACTTTATTTCTCTTGTGCTCTGTCAATACTTTAGTTTTCTTTAGTTTTTTTTCTAATTTTCTTTTTCTTAATTTTTTCCCTTTTTCATCGTCTTTACTTTTCTTCTCTTCCCTATTTCT